AAGCCTCCGAGACCATGCTGTTGACGGCACACACGGCGGCGCTGCGGCCGCCGTTGTGCTTGCTGCCCGAGATGCCCGCAGTCATCGCGTGCTTGTCGCCGCCGTCGGAGACGCTCCGGCCAGGTCCAGGACAGCCGCCATAGTCGCCAGCGTCGCATCGGAGACCACGGCGCCGCCGCTTCACAACTAGGAAAAGCCCCACATAATCCACAAGATGGCGCTGTGATCCACGGTACTACTCTTACTAAAGTTTTGTTAGGGTGCTGTTCTCACGGTACTGCTTCCACTGATACTTTTGTCGATTCGCAGTGAATCACAGAGAAGCAGTAAAATGATGCCTCACGTATCTTTTTGATCGAAAGGTCGCTTCAAACCTCCCATCACGTATACTTTTGATCAGTTGGCCTCGCAAACCTAATACAGCAAAATGATACCTCATGCATCATTTTACCCCGTTTTACTTAAAGTTTGTATGGTGTCCCTTCAAACAGAAATGTATGGCGTTAACGATAGGGTAATATTCACGAAGATCATGGACGTGTACGAGATTCCTGGAGTGACCTTCGATCTGGCGGAAACTATCGCGGCCAAGACGGTGAAAGACCTCCTGGCAAAGTTTGTTCCTGAAGCCCGGATGAAAATGAAATGAAGGGAATCACCTTCCCGTCAGGAAAATACTTAACGGATAGCGCCAAATAGCGTACCCTTCCCGAATTGAATACCTCCTCTCAAATCTGATAGAATGTGCTCAGTATACAAAGCTATTGTACCTACGCCAATTTGTATACCTCAACCAAACCGTATAGAACGTTGAGTACTTATAATTTTCTTGAAATTTATGTGAAGTTTAGCATGTAAACACCTTTTGATTGGCTAAGAGATGTCTTAAAATTGAAAATCACCCTTTATTTTCCGTGTAAGTATTACTTTGTCAAATACGGCAAGCAAGATCCGGTTATTTTTTATCTTTTTAAAGACCACAGTTTAAAAACTGACACTTGTATTCGGTACTGTTTGCATGTTGTGTAACTTTACGCAAAATTACCGTAAGGTACCCAAAGAAAAATGGTTTTGGTTGTTGGTCTAAGTTCTGCTTGCATCTAACGGCATGAGAGACGTTGTGAACCAACTCTGCGCAATCTATGGATGTCTCCATGGTTTGAAGACTGGTACATACGTTGGCAGGATGCCATCAAAGAGGTTTTGCAGAACGTAGCTAGCTCTACACACAATATTTCAGACTTGAATGCGTCGGAGCTACTTTGGTAGTATAACCCCATTCCTATTTGTATATCTTTCTAGATTTGACAAGTGTTCAATTCAATAGTATGCGGTATACAAATTGGCGTTTTCCGTTAGCTACCGTTTTTGCCATCGGTGTAGTGTCTAGGAATCGAAGCACACACAGCTTGAACTCGTACGTACTTAAGTAATCGCAACGAGCGCTCGTACTGCTTTGGCCGCGCGTCACCTTCACTTTTTAAGCGCGTTCTACCTGTTCGCGCCATTCAAAATGGCGTAACGCAACGAGCGCGGCTATCAGGCTCCGAGATTGAATGTCTTATTTCAAGTGTGAATTATATGGCTTTCATTGGATAATCGAAAGTGTGCTCTATGATATATATGTGCTCTATGATATTGTGCTTTGCAACCGGTTTTCCCTCCTAATTAGTGCACTAGATAGTGTTCGTACTTAGTGGTAAATCATAGTGGCTTTGAAGTCGTGTTTCGAAGCCAGCTTGGCTCGGAAATGGCACTTTCGGAAAGTGCCAAAAGGATGCTAATCCATGCTGGATGTGCTAAATCATGCAGGAGATGACATACGCGCGAGGAATTAAGTTTCAAGTAGATTGAAGCCTTTTTGTAAAAGTCTAAGTAGGTGAATGCATCAATTTGCAAGTAGATTGCCACAGTCAAAAATAACGTTTTATCATATCCGAATTGAACGTTAATTTTATGGGCAAAAATAACTGTTTTCCAGGGCCAAGTAATATCGTACGAAATTACCTTTTTAGAGTAAGAGTGTCGTAATGCTAATGTGTAAGTTTACATCATCGCTTCGTAGAATTGTATGCAGGCAGACCAAACTAACGCACTTGGTTCTGTATTAAAACTTCGTCGGCCGCGCGTCTGATAAGTACAGTTGGGTATGTTGAAAAGTCTGAAAGCAACAACCTACGACTCGTAAGTTTTAAAACGGACGGGCATTCTGAGCAGGCCACGCCTCTGTTAAGTACTCTTACGTTTATTGTAACGTACGACAGCAATAACTTACGACTCGTAAGTTTTAAAACGGACGGGCATTCCGAGCATCTCACTTCGCGGTATTCTGAGCTTCTTGTCGTACATTTTGAAACGGACGTTCATAGTTTTTTTCAGTATCTTGGGCCGGAGCTTAGCAACACATCTCTGTAGGAGTTTCATAACCACCTCGTTTAGCCTGTGTTCTCTTAGCTCGCGAGTTTTGACTGCAGGGCTCATTCGTCTTTTTGTCGGATACCCACCCAACTACACGCCTCAACACCTCTACCACCTCTCCTGTTTCGGTCACCCGGACAATGTCTTCGCCCATGATCACCTCATCCGCTGTCGAAGATGCGGACATCGCCGAACTCATCGAGATGCGCATGCTACGACCTGAGCTAGATGTCGGCTTGGATCCGCTCGACCCCGCTTCTTACGGCGTAGTTTCCGACCATGGAAACAACGTTGCGTCTGTGACGCTTGAGTCGAAAAAGGCTCTGCTGCAACGCTGTCGCGAGTTTGCTCGAGCCCGTGGCTTTTCCATTCGCGTGGCCAACAACAGCTATCACTCTCGTCGTC